AAATGAAATTGCCACCTGATAAAAAATTGCATTCAAATAATTTACTAATCAATGCCATCACATCCACACCGTTCGTTCGATTTTCAAAAGTGAGGTGTCAAATCAAACTTTTTCGAAATAAGTTGCCACCTTTTAAAAAATTAAGTTCAAAGTAATACGCGAAGGCTTTCTTTGTTCCGAATAAAAGATCTGACTTTAGGTGTGCAATAAGGTTTAAATTTTTCGAAATAAGTTGCCACCTTTTAAAAAATTAAGTTCAAAGTAATACGCGAAGGCTTTCTTTGTTCCGAATAAAAGATCTGGACCGTTCGTTCGATTTTCAAAAATGGGGTGTCAAATTAAAGCGCTTGGCCTATAGATGTGTGTTATTTTTTCGAAAGGAGTCGCCACCTGTAGAACAATTGAATATAAACTATATAATAAGCAATGCCGTCAAAACAGCACCGTTGGTTTGATTTTCCAAAATAAGGTGACAAATTAAAACTCTTGGACTGCAGATATGCAATAAGGTTTTACTTTTTTGAAAAGAGTTGCCACCTTTTAAAAAATTTCATTCAAATTATTTAAAAAAATCAATTATTACGAAATGGGTATCAGTGGAAAGGGTTTGTTTAAAAAATTAAATCCAATTTGAATAAAGAAAATTAATTAGGAGAAATATGTTTCAACATATGGGCGCATAACGAAAGAAAATATTTTGAAGAGGGTTGCCACCTTCTTGCAATGTCGAATTTAATTAACTTATCCAGAAGTTATATGAAGTGTCAAAATAATGATGTGAAACGAAAGAATATTAAGAAGACTCACGATCACATGTTACATGCATGATGTCGAAATCGTCGATAGTGTAGTGGTAGTGATAACCAGACATTGAACAACCGGCCCTTAGTGTTCTGGGGAGATTATGCCGCCGTCAGAATATTAAACATTGGCTTTCACAGTCGCCATTGGCGATTCGTACTGGGCGAACTCAGGAATAATTAAAAGGACACGCAGCTACTGAACGAATGAGACAGGGAACGTGATCTACATCGTCAAATGAGAAGTGCCGTAAGTTTGAAATTACATCGCGCCATTGACTAAACCGAGCTGACGTGTGTTACGATTGGCCCCATGGATGTGGTTTGCCAATATTATACTTTACAGCGACTTTCAGAATCAATAGGTATCCACGAATGTCAATAAATACAACCACATATTCGGCATTTAAGGAAATTTCGTCTCTTTAGCCTACATTGAATTTCTGTAGCCCAACGAATCTTATCCATTTTGTCTTTTTGTCGCCAGCAAATGCAAAGCACATTTCTTAAAATTTAAAAAGTAAAAATTTTACTACTAAAAATTTAAAAAATATTCTTAAAACTTGCAAAGAAGTTTGGAAAAGAAATATCACTGTTTTGTCCTTTAGGAGTAGGGTGGGAGTGTCATTGATAAAATTAGAGTGAGAGAAAGTTTTTCTTACAAAACCTTTCATTATTGAATTATCGGTAAAACCCATGGTACAATAAAAACAGGTAGAAGCCAATTTGACGTTAAACCTGCAAAAGTCAAGTTTTCGGGAGAGTAAAAATAAAAATGAGCGTATGTAAGGAAAAATAAAAAATTACATTTAGCTAGTTGACGTTTTTAAGTAAATTTGAAGTTTATTTTTATTTATTTATTTACTTTAGTTAAAATTCGTTAATTTGTATGTTGTTTTCTGTTTTTGATTTATGAGTTGCAGTGTTGTTGGAGGGGCTTTCCGGCATAAGGGTCATAGGAACAGCACTTGGCATCAAACGTTCCTTTCCTGTACCTCCCGGCGCATTTGTGATATCTGCTGCTTTAAAATGTTTAACGCACAGCAAGGCATTTCGCTGCAGCTCTTCCCCACAGCTGCTTTCGCAACGCTCCTTCCGCGAAGGACATTGAGGCACGTTAAAAAAATAATTAGTGGTATCTGCTTAATATTTAACATCACATAAAAAACAACGCTTAGGGTGCTGCATTTTTAACACATACACTAAGTATAAACCGCACAACACTACAAAAATTTAAGTGTTAATTGAAATATAGGAAATAAAATAAATTCAAGTTGAAGTTTAAAGGTTTGGTTCTCATGAGAGCAACGTCAAAATGGCTTCTACCTGTATTTATGTGCCTTGGGTAAAACCTGTCTTATTTCAAAACGTTTCTCTCTTTCATCCCTAATTATCGCTACCTTTTATATCTAAAAATATCGATATTTTGGTATGAATAGATAAGGCTTGATGTCAAGAGCTTCCGGTGAGCAAACCTCATTTTTGGCACAAGTCAGTTACGAGGTTTTGCAGAACCGCGATACACGGTTTTGTACTTTAAACGACGGTTTATATACATATGTACATATGTATGTATCAGGATTGTTGCGAATATTCGCATTCGCAACCGCGGAACTTCCGCATAAATTTTAACATTCGCATTCGCAATAATCAATGCGGAGCTTTTGCGAATGCGAATATTGTGCAAGTGCCCCAAAAAATATATCAAAACACATTTAACGCATGGAATGGAAAAACAAAACGGATTTGATGGCTTATAGTACCGACAGCGGTGAGTAATTAATTGTGAATGCCTGAAACTAGGAAAAGCCAAGCTCAGCTAACTAATAAAAAAAACTAATTACAAGCTGTTCATTACAGGTGAACCTTTCCAAGAGGTCACCCGGGAATTAAGCAAATCCGAGACCTTTATCGTCCGTGATTCCAATAATTGAATTTATTATAAAAAACGGGGTCACCTTTTTAACAAAATAACAAGATTTAAACTAATTCTGCTGGCAGCCACGACTTTCAAAACAGAATTTTCTTCGAAATTTTCATTCCTACAAAATAACAATTTATTAGCCATATCCACCTATTCACAACGTCGCGACGCTATAGGCACACATCTTTCAAACCAGTCACAGAAGACAGGATTAAAAATGAATTACAAAAACTAAAATCGAAAAACGCTGATGTAACAGGTTCTCCAAATTCTGAAACAACCAAAAGAATTGGTTCTCCAAATTGGAACACAACGGTGTTTAAACAGCGATATTGCCATGATGCTAGATTGTGAAGATGAAAGTCAGGAGGATACATCCGAAATTTGCAGCCCCGATGCAATTCTCGAATTATTGACCCGCAAAAAAAAAAAAACTGAAGTCCTCTCAACTGGTGCAGCGTCAATCTAAAAGAATTTACAATTTTGTAAAGTTTCAAGTTTTTCAAGTTTGTCGCCTCGAGCGAGTAGTTATTTAATGGCGCAGGTTTGATTAACGACCCGTTAGGAAACAGGCTGTAACCCGAAAAAAACAGTAAAATTACTCTTTCTTAAATAGAATGTTCCAATTTTTTTATTTAAGTACTAAATAAAAAAAATACTAAAAATTACTAAATTTTCCATTTTTTTTACCTAAATAACCTAATGTACTCACCAAAAAATATTTCTTAAAATACAGAGAAAGGCCGCATAGACGGACGCTCTAATAAGCGGACACATTCTTTGGAACGAACAATTTTTGGTTTTTTTCCATACAAAATGCTCTCCCATACACGGACTTTCCGATAAAAGGACGCGGACACTCAAAAATGTCCAGTTATGAAAAAAACTCTCCCGAAGCTCTAATAAGCGGCCAATTATGTTTTGTTTTTCAGTCAAATGTTGACTCTTGCGCTTCTACATATGTATATGTACACAAGAACATAGCCCATATTCAAAAATATTTTCTTTTCTAGAAAAAGTATTCAGCCGCATTGCGTAAGTCGGTAAATTAGGCTAAATTGTAAAATGACGTGAAATTTTCGATACGATTCGACTCTCGAAAAACGACTTACATTCGATACGACTCTTGCAATGAGGGTGGTTGCCTTTTCGAGATTTGTCGGTAGGAAAGAAAACGCAATAAATTTGAATTTATTTTTAATTCATCCTGTTTCTGTCTATTGAAGAATAAATATTATTTTAATTTAGAAACCCGCAATTTAAATTTTTTTATGTATGCGATTTTATTTTATTTTTTTACGAAATTCCTATAAGCGGACATCTCTCATAGGCGGACAAAAAAGGTGACCATCGGTGTCCGCATATTGGAGCTTTCACTGTATTTGACATCCGCATTCGCATTCACATCCGCGGATTTCTAAAATTCCACATTCGCAACATCCCTACTATGTATGCATGAAGCCATTTTATTAGGCTATTTAACTTACCTTTGTGCAGTATATGCGTGGCATTGTCTGCGGTCTGGAAGTTGTCATTAAAATTAATATTTGCAGCTTTCGCAACATGAAATGTTTCAACCTCGCGATTTCCTCTGTCTGCAATACATTTTGCCTTTGGTATCCATACACATCATTATCTTGTTCAATTAATTTAACTATGTAATCATTAAAATTGTAATAATTGGTAAAACTATTTAGAGACATGTTGTTGTTGTTGTTGTAGCAGCATACAAATTCCCCAAAGACTTTTTGGGGAGTGTTGCTGGAGTGACAGTCCTTGGCCAGATATAAATCTGGGTCGTTCCGGTTACGTAGGCCCGACTGTCGTGGGCAAATGTCTTCGAAATTGGATTTCAAATTGAAATTTGTCGTGTAAATATTTATAATTTCAAATTGAAATTGAGAATTGAAATCGCCCAATTTGAAGCTCGGGGAAATGTACTTTAGTGTTATTTTACGGTTTATCGTTTTCTCAGTATAGAAATGTGTACGAAAACCGCTCCCTCGGAAAACCATATTTTTCTCTGCTGGGTGGGAACACAAACAATTTTTAAGGAGCAGCGAGGCACGCTGGGTGTTTGCTTGTAAATAAGAAATTCTTAATTTAAAACTACTCGGTGTTTAGAGGGGAATGCACCGACTTTTTTATAAAGCTGGATTTGAAAATATTTTTTTTTAGCTTTAAAAAAAATCTAGTAAAAAATGTAGACAAAATTATCAGTCACGCGTAGGTAAGTTTATAACGATTGATAATGTGATAACTAAAAACAATTGATATTAAAGATTTTAATGGTAAAAGTTTGAATGTAATCTTTTCTTTTTAATAACTTTAACATAGTTTCTTAATTGGAATATCTTCCATTGCGCGAGTCTAATATTAAAATAAATAAAATGCTTCGAGATTAGGAACTATGTTCCTTATTTTGGTCATATAATTGCCAGGCTCCGATCGTATACCTGAACCAGATTAAAAATAAGTCAACGCCCATTTGTATCCAAGACCAGACCGGTGTTAATTTAGAGCCTTCGATTTCTTTCCAAGTCACAGCTACTTCAGCTATAGGAAATTTCAAACGCTCAGCTATATAAAGCAGTTCAACGTCAAAAGCCCATCGTTCTACATGTAAATTTTTGAAAAGAGTGTTCGCTGCAGAACGAGTTAGTAATTTGAAGCCACATTGAGTATCTCGTATGCTACGGACTGCGAAAAGCCAAACCAGAAAGTGAAAGCCGTGCATAAGGAATGTTCTGCAAGGAGTTAGGAAAAATGTATGCCAACAAAATGAAATAATAATATGTATAAAGTTATGGCTAACCTAAAGAGACTGCGTGTTGCAATAGCTTCCTGCTCTAAATGAGCACGGGAACCAACAACAATAGCGTCCGACTGCCAATCTTTGGATATATTATTTATGCTTTGGTCTAATTTATCATAATCAGAAAATTTGGTCGCGCCATCCGCGTCAGCAAAGAGAAGGTAGCGTCCTCTCGCACTTAGCATTCCCTATTAATGTATCGTAATAAACAAATTATATAATAACGTGATAAACTGTTGTTTGAGTACCAGACGAACAGCACCTCCTTTGCCGCGGTTTTCAATAAGCTCCAGCACACGAAATTTGTCTACCGTATAGCGTTTTGAATACTTCAATGCAAGTGAAACGGTGCCATCACTGCTGCCATCACTAACAACTATAATTTCATAGGTAAAGCTGTTATCTCTAGACTTTTCTTCTAAGAAACCCACGCATTCTTCTAGCATTTTTGGCACTGTGAAGACAAATTAAAATAGATAAATTATTCGCTTAACATAGTTTTATTAAGTTTTTACTCACATCGCTGTTCTTCGTTGTATGCTGGTATAATCACACTGAGATCTAGAGTCGGTGCGTCTGATATTGATGGGAAATTCACATTTTGTATCGCTATTGGATCGAGGAAATGTGTCTCCTCTTTTCGTCTTTTGATAACTGGAAAAGGGCTTGTTATCGCTTTTTGTATAATAAAAAGCTGATACAATTTTGTATGTAATATAATTATGTATCTTAATTCCGAATAAAAGGATTCAGAAGACTACTTACCACCACTACAAGGGAACTCAATAACGATAAGCCGGCGATAAGAATCACCTGCGCAAGCTCCACCAGGGACATCAGGTCTATCTTATCTTAACAATGATGAGACCAAAGAGTCTTTTAATCACTTAATGTATTAAGCAAAAGCAAACAGCTAAAACGCCACGTAATTTACCAAAAATTTAGACGAATATCACACGACAACAATTGTTTATCTGTTGACCAATTGTGCGTGTGTCATATTTTCCCAGAGAACGTAAATTTATAAACTTACGTTCTCTGTTACTGGACCAAGCAGTCACGATAGATTTTAATTGCGAACTCGCCATTCCTAGCTGACGCTAGATGACGCTGTAACAAGGTTGGGAACTGAATGGAAATGACAATTGAAGGAAATATTGCCTAAAACCCGGTACAAAATGGCAATTTAGCAATAAATTTTTTTTTTTTTTATTAAACAGCTATATAATAGCCCAACAGATGGCTGGAACCACAAACTAATTCTTACGACGCACATAGGAGTATTTGTTGAAAAAGCCGGTCATAAGTCGAATTAAAAAAATATGTTTAATCTCATCTCAGAAACTATTTTCTTGAAGGTAGATAATCGGTTTATCAAATAGCAGACGCCAGAATTTTCACAGCGTTTAGTGTCTGAGCATTGTTCATTGGAACCTAGTCATTGTTTTAACCATAAATCTTTGTTCTCGTCAATCCTAGATTTCCATAGTGTGTAATGGTTAACTGTGCTTTTGTTTTGTGAAGTAAACGAAAAAATCTTTTTGGACATGGAAGGGCAAGGTATGTACTTTATAATAACAATTTATTTTTTTAATTTCATGCCAAGACTGCACCCGTAATTTTTTTTTAACTAAAATTTATCAAACAGTAGTGTTTTTAAATAGGTGTCGGACCTTGTCAAGTAAAATTGTTAGCGTGATCATAATATTTGGACCCTTTTTGAATATAAATGGGAATAAAATTGTCCCCACATGTCCACAATTTTGTTTTCTCAGTTCTCAAAGTATGCACTGCAAAAACAGGTGTCTTGGCAAAAATCAATTCTCCTCGCTTTTATAATAATTTTTTTACATGTCCTCTGTAAAGACAGTAGGAATGCCTTTGTCCAATTTCCTAAACGTGTTTTCACAGCCGACTAAATATAAATGCTCAAAACATAACCTAAAAACGTTGTTCTGTTGAAATACAGCGAAATTTGCATTCATTTTGTAAATTTTGGAAAAATTGTATTAAACTATCAATTAAACATTTTATTTAATTATAAAAACGATCTTCATTTTAAAATTAAGTGTGAAAAATCACTTTTCTCGTTTTCTCGATAATGTCATTAGGTTAGGTTTTTGTTAGGTTTTTTTTTTCAAAATGGGGTTGTGATGGGTCCAATCAGAAGCAGTATAAACAAAAATTTACCAACAGTGAAGACAGTGACGCCAATATTTTTTTGAGTTCACTCGTACCTGTGAGATTGATTGTCTCAATTCATGGAAAATTCAAGACGATTGTATGGCAAAATCCAACACCGAGCTCAGTAAGGTTTTGTCGACCTATCCGAGCAAGATTTATCCATGAAACAAAAGATGTGACAAAAGAAGAAATCGCCTACATTGAAGAACAATGCCAAGAACTTGAAGAAACGATAGTAAATTCTCCTAATGGAGTTACTAAAATAAAGCACACTTTAGTGCTTACTATGGTAGATGGAAAAGTCTGCAACGCAGCTACAGATACAACATCTACTATGAGGTGCTACATATGTAGCCAAACTTCGAAAGATTTTAATAAGCTGAAGAAACCAACTCAGATAAATAACGAGGCACTCAAATTTGGCCTGTTGGTCCTCCATGCTAGAATTCGTTTCTTCGAGTCCCTATTGCATTTATCGTATAAGCTAACATTAGAAAAATGGCAAGCACGATCGAAAGAAGAGAAAGAAATATTGCAGGAAACCAAAGAAAAAATTCAAAAACGTTTCAGAGAAGAAATGGGTCTCCTTGTTGACATTCCGAAAGCCGGTTATGGTAACACAAACGATGGCAATACGTCAAGGAGATTTTTTGAAGACTCAGAAACCTCTTCTCGGATTACGGGAGTTAATCAAGAGCTTATAGAGCGATTTAGAGTTATTTTAGAAGTTATTTCAAGCGGCTACGATATAGATCCCGTTCAATTTGATAGATATGCACAAATTACAGCGAAACTTTACACAGACTTGTATGACTGGCACCCAATGTCTCCTACACTCCATAAAGTATTAATACACGGTTCCATGGTGATCACTCATTCCATTTTACCAATTGGACAGCTATCAGAAGAGGCAGCCGAGGCCAGAAATAAACACTTCCGAAAATACCGCCTGGATTTTTCCCGAAAATTTTCTAGAGTAGAGTGCAACAGAGATATTCTAAACAGGCTGTTACTAACATCTGACCCATTCTTGAGCTGCACTAGCAAAAAGAAAAATAAAAAAAAAAAAAAGCCGTTTTCTGAAGAGGCAAAGAAACTCCTGATTCCGAGTAC